ATCCCCATACTCATAAAGCATTGATTCACCCTTCAGTTCACAGAATGCAGGTATCATAAATTTCAAGAAATCAATATTGTTGTTTATTCATTTATTCTCATTGGATCCTAAATTATGGTTGACTTGACAAAACCCAACCGAACATTTACATCCTTCCAGTTTTATTTTCATATGTGAAATCATTATCTTTCTTTAATTCAACAATTTTGGGGAGCCGCATGAAAATAAAAAATTCAGGTGGGAGAGATTCTTTGCTAATGAAACACAAATAGGGAACTCACAAATCTCTATCTGATTTTTTCTTAAACTTATTAGGCAACACAATACTCTGTATATCATGAATCCCAAATTGACAAACTCTAACAATAATTTATCAGTGTAGAACATTATCATCTATTAAAAAATCAAATATCATGCAAATCAAAAACAAAATGTCCAATTAATCAGTTTAATTCAAAACCCCTTTAAAGCTGGATTAGAATTAATAAAAGAGATTCAAATAAATTAGGGATTTGGAAATACCCCAAATAAAAAACGTGCTGGTGGTGACCTCATTAGAATCGGACTGTGGCAATGATTGGGAACATGGATGGAGAGAGCGGATCCAGCGGCATGGAGGTCTGGTCAGAACTGGTTGTTCCCTGGACCTCAAGTTCTTGTGGCTTGAATCTGTGCTGATCACCCGGTCCATCTTCAGTTTTATTCTTCTTGCAATTTGCTCCATGGTACTTTGTACATACGAGTGGAGTATGAGAAGCCAAAATGTTCCAAACCTACAACTATCTACCTTTACTTCTAAAATGGACGGAGTTTTAACGGAGAGGACAATTTTGTCTCAAAATATAAGAAGTACAACTATTTGAGCATGAGGTATATGAAATTTGGACGGAAAAAATGCTTATTTTAAATGGGTACCTAACTATCTCTCCCATTGACTGGGCACGATACGAGAATAAGAAATCGATTATGAAAGAAAACAAAGAGAAGAAAGAGAAAGAAGAAATCAAATTAAATCCATCAAGGAAGAAAAATCAGATCTGAAAAGAAATAAAGAAAAGAAATCAAATTAAATCCATCAATGGTTATAGTTTGAATATACGAACATACGGTGCAATTCAAAAAAATTCTCACATGGTGTGTGTGTGTGTATATATATATATATGGGATTGACTCCAGTGAGATGACACCTTACCCGGTCAGATGACGCAAAGCTCACCACTGCCAACTGCAAAGCTCACCAAGGACAACTACAAAGCTCACCAAACTGTAAGGCAAAGCTCACCATATTTTTTCAACACTTTGAATTTTTTTTAAAAATAAAATCAAAGAATGGGGTGCTGACTAAACTTTGACCATTGACCAAGACCTTTGACTGCCGCCGCCGGCCACCACTGGTCGCCGGAATCCGCCGCCGCCGGCCACCGTCGGTCGCCGGAATCCGCCACCGCTGGCCACCGGAATCCGCCGCTTCCGGCCACCACCGGTCGCCGGAATCCGCCTCTGCCGGCCACCGCCGTTCGCCGGAATCCGCCTCCGCCGGTCGCTGTCGGCAGCCGGAATCCGCTGCCGGTCACCGGAATCCGCCTCCATTCGCAGGAATCCTCCGCCGGTCGCCGGAAACCGCCCCTACCGCCGCTGCTGACCGGTGGTTGACCGGTGTTGCTATTTTATTTTTTATTAATTTTTAATTTTCAAAATTTAAAAAAAAGGTGATTTTTTGTGTTCAAAGTGGTGAGCTTTACTTTATCTCTAGGTGAGCTTTGCATTGTCCAGTGGTGAGTTTTGTAATGTAGTTTGGTGAGCTTTGCGTCATCTCACCGAAGCATGTCATCTCACCATAAAGTGTCATCTCACTGGAGTCAATCCCTATATACACACACACACACACACATACATTTGAATAATGAGTTGTTTATAATTTTATTTAATGTTATTTGTTAAATTTATCTCAGTGAAACAAGAAAGGAAAAAGATGTAGTAACCATATCGCAATGAGAAGTTATACACTGTGCAGTTAGTAATTTTTATATTGTCAGTGAGAAGATAGTAAGGTAAATATGAAGCAAAAATAGTGCACACCTATTTCTTTTGGTCATCAGAAAAAGACATAGCATTTGAAACATGCCCAGCCTTCAGAAGATATTCCTCCTGTATTGACATTCAGCATACATCAGTAAAGTGTAAAATAAAGTATTATCCAGAACAAACAATGGTTTACGGCTTATTACATGTGTAGCACTATCTTTAGAACAAAAAACCTAAAAAAGTGAACCTCATAAACTGCAGCAAGTCCGTTTTTGCTCTTTTTATCATCCTGCATCAAATTAAAAGAAAAAGGTCATGGATGTTACCATCACTTTAGTCACTAAAGAATCCTGAGGAGTGGGAAAGACACATTGTTGAAAAACAATAGCAACAATGCCTAATCCCACTACGTCGGGTCATCTACACGCATTGTTGCATAAACGACATTAAAAACTCAAAAAGGTATCAGTCATGAGATTGATTCACTACCAGTTCATTCATTTGTCTTGGCGTTCGGGATGGCAAAGTTGAAGGCTTTTGAACGTCATCGAATTCTTCCTGCAACTACCCATAGTATAAATGCTGCCATTGCCTTGCCAACCCACTGCCTACATTTCATTTCCAAATTGCTAATTTTACGTACAGCTTATAGTTATACTCTAGAAGTAAATTAGACCTGTGCAAATAAGGGCCGGCCCGTCCGGCCCGCCCTTTAAAAAAAGATGGATATGGGCATGCTTTAATACCCATATGGGCGGGTCGGCCTAGCCCAAATTGTATCTGGGCGGATATGGAACCTACATTTAGCCCGTCCGGGCTAGCAGGATGAAGCCTTATTATTCCTAATATTATTCTGGCATGCATTTCCCGTGATTCTACCTGGGATTGGACCTCGAAATTCATCAAGAACTTGTGAAGCAACATAATTTCTTTCACAAGTGCAAGCCAGTGTTCACGTCTTGTGGATAGGGGTGGACACGGTACGGTTCCGGGACGGTTCCGGTTCCGGAACCGCCGGTTCCAGTACCGCCACCCCTTGGTACCGGTACCGTAACCGTAATTGCCGGTACCGGTTCCGGTATCTGGACCGGCGGTTCCGGTACCGGACCGGCCACCTAAGCGATGAATTTGGTCTGCAATCCAGTCGCGAACTCGCGACTCACATAAAGGTCGCGACTCGCCGATTTCTTCTCCCACTCGCCGAAGCGATGAATTTGGTCTGCAATCCAGTCGCGATGAATTTGAATTTGGTCTGCAAATCAGAGAGCCTGAAGCGATGAATTTGGTCTGCAAATCAGAGAGCCTGAAGCGATGAATTTGGTCTGCAATCCAGTCGCGACTCGCCGATTTCTTCTCCGACTCGCCGATTTCTTCTTCTTCCTTCAATCGAGCGGTTGCGCCACTTGCGCGACGGATGAACTTCGCTGTGGGGGAGCAAATCTGGACAAAAAAAAAAGGGAAGGTACCGGAACCGGTACCGGTACCGCCGGTGCCGGTACCAAAAAATGGATACCGGAACCGGTACCGTGGGGGGCGGTACCGGTACCGGTTCCCGGAACCGGTGGGCCGTCGGCCGGCAGTGACGGTGGCGGGTACCGGCGGTACCGTTGCCGGTCACGGTACCGTACCGGTACCGTGTCCACCCCTACTTGTGGAGCTTGTTATTTCTGGAAATTCTAGGACAACACCTTCTTGCCTGCATGCAGGTTATCCAAATACATGGGCATGCGCTCATATTCCAAACACCCAATCCATATATGCATATTTCATTACTGACTTGAACTTGATTTCATGATTTTGAATGATTATATACATTAGATTTCTAATGTCTCATCAAAACTTTTAGCTCATGCCCTTTATAAATTTCAATTAAATTGCAGAGAAAAAACCAGGACTTCAATTGCAGTAGTACGCGTACATTTGCTTGAAAAAGGACGTACTTACAGTTGGGAAGATTGGTTCACTATGGCTTTTTCAAAGAGAGGAGCACCCCAAGGACCAGTCGCGACTGGGTTTACACTCTGGTCATTGTCCTTGGAGAGGTCAAGCCTAAGAGCATAGTTTGATTCCAGAAGCCTCAAAGTAGAGAGCAAAGTTTGTCAATGTCAACCTACCTAGAAAATGTGTGCGTGGTCTTGTGTAACCTTCTTGAAAATGATTGTCCTTACAATGGAAATGAGAGTAAAATTGCATCAATAATAGAGAAGATCAAAGGCGGGAGGCATACCAGGCCAACTTGTTCCTCCAATATGGCGCACAACTCTATGCGATGTCGCGGTTCGTTCCACGTGCAGTATAAACTCATTATCCGCGAGTTATATGCCGGTTGGTTTGGCTTGCTTCTGCAAATGCCTTAAGCATCTTAAGGAAACACAAGAGAAATATGATGTAGTTATTGTACACAAAAAAAAACACTTTCATTTTATTTGGAGTCAAATAAGCAGTACAGTTTTCAAAATAATAATTACTTGTCAATCTGTTTCAAGAACACATTGAAGGCAGGATAGTGGAGTGTACTACCAGAAGAAGCTGTAAGAGTCTCGAAAGTAAAGCGAGTGTTCACGACATTCCGCTACCACAAGTATAAGCGTTGCTAGCCACACAAATGCATTTTCGCCAATACTTGGCTCCTCATCAATCTGTCAATACATTTTATAAAATAACAACCTAAAAAAATCAAACAACATATAATAGGAGTACCATTTATCACACCAAGTTTAATCTAGTTATATATTTGTTGGTTCCAAAATAAACTTCTCACTTCCTTATTTGGGCCAACCAAACAAAACTTCACATGTCTTAAAAAGGAAAATATTGTCTTAGTCTTATATCATGCACTACTGCTTTTAAATTTAAGTCACATGGACCACCACATAGCAGAGCATACCCTACCCTTGTCATTAAAAAAATATCTTAAACTTTGTGCCATACTCAAATGGGAACCTTAATATAGGACAGAGAGAGTAAAAAGGTGAATATAAGACTCAAATTTCTTGACAAATTAAGTAAAAAAACAATGGATGCACAAAGTCCGTATTTATAATGGGTACACAACCCTACTTCATATTTATATAATATAGAAAGATATGTTCTGAAACTGATCCTTATCCAAACTCAGAGCATAAAAAAGAAATTTTAAAAGTTTAGATTATACATGTTGCGTGGAATAATGTCCAAGGCTCATTGGGGTAGTCCAGAAAGTCGGCAACTATGGAAGAACTTGATTAAGAAGTCACCATATTCCGATCTGAAATCAAGTATTTCTCACCAAGTCTAGTTCCAACAACATCTATTGGCACGCTTGGGGCATAATGTTTCAACTCAGGTATGCACTGGAACAAGATGAAAACAGCAGCTCCAAGATTACTCAGCGCGGTCTTGAGTATAACAAGCTTAGACCTATAGTAATGACTAAAACTCACTCCTTAAAGTAAACATATTGTTACTTTCCCCCACAAGCTACACCTCAAAATTTCAAGTCTAAAATAAGTTATCAAATATAATAAGAAAATACTTTTCAACTGATCAGTAATAAAAACAAATAAGCTTCAATCACCAACAAAGATCAGCAAATAATCCTAAATTAATGAACAAACAACACCAAGCCATCGCCAAATAGGCATCAATCACCAAGCCATAGCAGATTCAGCAAATAATAAAAGCAATATCGGGTTAAACAATAAACCATCACAAAATAGCCAAATGACCAGCAATATGGCTAAAGCAACCACCCCAAGCCATCAACCATTCCCACAATCAGCAAAAGTGAAAAATCTGCCAAGGCAGCGGTTTTGTGTTGGGAATCATAGCTTGTGTTGATAGAAAACCCCAAAACCCCATATCAAAAATAGACCCAGACACTTAACCCTAAACTCAAAACACAACCCAAAAACCAGCCCCAAAATCAATCCCCAAAAACCAGTCCCAATCACAAAAGCCAAAACCTAATCCAGAGTCTACCCAAAAGCAGACCCAAAATAATGCCCTGAGTCTCCCTTCAACGACTTTTTAATATTAACTTTAGTGACCCGACAACCCTTTTTGAAAACCCCAACCCAAAAATAGGCCCAAACACTTAACCCTAAACTCAAAACACAACCCAAAAACCAGCCCCAAAACCATTCCCCAGAAACCAGTCCCATTTAGTGACCCGACAAACCTGATAGAAAACCCCGAAATCCCAACCCAAAAGTAGACCCAAACACTTAACCCTAAACTCAAAACACAAACCAAAAACCAGCCCCAAAACCAATCCCCAAAAACCAGTCCAAATTCTTGGACTTAATCAAACGGCGATTCATAATCGATCAATTTACCCAAAAAATTAGGTCAGACTCTAGGTCAGACTCTAGGTCGTGTTTTAGCCAGATTGTACCCGCAAACCTAACGCAAATTTGATTGTCAAACACTAAAGTTAAAAGTCAACCTAGAACCTAACCCAAAACCAAACCAAAAATCAGGTCCAATCCCCAAAGTAAGAAACAAAATCCCTACCCAGAACATAACCCAACAACCAATTGCAGGGGTGCATTAAGCTATTCCCATGTTTAAAAATTGTGAATAAGTACAAAAAGAATGAATATGACATTAACAGGCTTTAAGAATGAAGACCAATCATTGTGTGTGGCGTTTAACAGGATAAATATAGCCGGTTTAGTGGAATCTGAATGTCACATGGCCTTAAAAACCTATTTGTAATAGTGTGGTTTTGATTAGAGTGCAGCAGTTCATATTAAGATAATTCTTTTTTGGGAGATATTTGACAAAAAGAGGAAAACCAATACCAGTACATGGTGAAATTTCCATTGTGTTGATCGGTGGAGGCGTTGAAATTTCCATATTGTTGAAAGTACCGCCAAGCTTCAGCCAATAAAGAAGACTCGGCATGAACCCTGTCATCAAATAGGACATGAGAGAGGTTAATAAATAGGAAAATCTCTTACCAAGGTGAATATTGTCAAATTGACTCTCCAGCCAAGTATATATGTAATATAACAGCATCGAGAAGCTCGAGCCTAAATATTCATCTTAGATTATTGTTTGGAGCTTCAAATTATATTGATCTAAGAGGTAAAATCATTTCATAATTTAAAATAAAATAATATAATAGATATAGTACATTTCTTTTTGATATATTAACTTTACTTAAAGAAAAATGCAAGTGTTAATATGAACTTAAAATTTGTTTAAAATCAAAGTCATAACCCGTTAGGTCGACCCAAACCGAATGATAATGGTGATGAACATATAGTTCTCTACTCGAACCCGCATTGACCCGAACATGAAGTAGTCCGAACCCGAAGTAACCTGAAATTTTTAAAAATGAAGTCATAAGTTGTTGGGCCAACCCAGAGTCCCACACCCAACTATAAGAGGAGGTTGTGGTGTTAATATTCCTTACCTTACGTCTTATTCAAGTGAATATGCTGATCTTGCAAATATTCAACTAAACAAACCATTTGAACACAACATCAATGGCAAATCTTCAAAGAAAAAGTGTGATTTTAATATTTTAAAAAAATCATACTTTGAAATGTTTGCTAATGAGTCAAATGAAGAGTCCACTTTTTAAAAAGGAAAAAAATAATATTAAAGAACACATCTTTTGTTTTTCAAAACCCACAAACCCTGGCACACTGGGCAATAGATGTTCTAACACTGTCATGGCAGCAAACACGCCCACTGGGATGTATTCCCTGCCAAATTACAACTAAGATCAATTAGCCACCAAAATGTCCTAAACCATGAACAAAGCTCACTCAGAATGGAATAACTTTTACATGAGGAACCATATACCAACCTACCACTGCATTTTTTTTCTTTTTATTTATATACCAGAGTGCAGTAGCATAAATTATGAACTTTCATTAATGAAGGGCATATAGAAGCAAAATCCAAAGCTGCAGCATGAGTTCTCGTAGAATCCATTTCTCACTTCCAAAACCTATAAACATGAGGAATCATAAATCAAAGTTAAAAGATATGGTTACTATTAATAGGAAGACATATAAATAAATTAACACTTATAAAAATGCTAATAGGTCATGTGGTAAAATTTCACCATTTTTGGCTTTGGGGTGTGATGNCCTAAACCATGAACAAAGCTCACTCAGAATGGAATAACTTTTACATGAGGAACCATATACCAACCTACCACTGCATTTTTTTTCTTTTTATTTATATACCAGAGTGCAGTAGCATAAATTATGAACTTTCATTAATGAAGGGCATATAGAAGCAAAATCCAAAGCTGCAGCATGAGTTCTCGTAGAATCCATTTCTCACTTCCAAAACCTATAAACATGAGGAATCATAAATCAAAGTTAAAAGATATGGTTACTATTAATAGGAAGACATATAAATAAATTAACACTTATAAAAATGCTAATAGGTCATGTGGTAAAATTTCACCATTTTTGGCTTTGGGGTGTGATGGAATAAATCAAAATGGATCTCTAAACTATCTGCGCTTCTTTAATTAATGAAGTAGCACGCTTCTTTAATTAATGAAGTAGCAGTTAGTCAAACAATGCAACTTTTGACGTTGAGCCGGGGGTCTCTTTGGAAACAGCCTCTCTACTTTCGAGTAGGGGCAAGGTCTGCGTACACACACCCCAGACCCTACTCTTGTGGGATTTAACTGGGTTGTTGTTGTTGTTGTAAAAATGCTAATAGGTCATGTGGTATACTATACAAAATTAGACCTGTATACTGTGGGCTATAAGATTCCATGAGGTCAATTCTTACTCTTATTTTCATTTCTCTTTAATATTATTTTCATTGGCAATAGCTTTGGAGTAACTCTTGTGACGAGTAACCCGCTTTAGCAATTTGAAAAGGTTATGTAATGGTACTTTCAGCGTGTTCAAAATTAATTGTCATGTTAAGGAAGTTGTTTGGTGATTAGGAGTAGCTTTTAGAGCAAAAACTAAAACTTTCTCAAACATTTTACTTGGTGATGAACTAAAAACAATAACAACCAACGTTGTCTCACCGTGTCCTTTATTTGCATGTGTTCTCCATTTTCTCTGGCCTCTCCCTATCCATTTTTTTATCTAGGTCTATACTGTCCTGAATCATCCCATCTTCAATTCTGTTAAAATGCAAAAACCTGAGCTAGAGTATCCTATCTAAAATGTGAAGCTACTTTAAGCATAAAAAATATGCTTGTATATTACCTCTAATATTTAATTGAAATAATAAATGAATACGGTTGATAGTTTATTGCATAAAGTTTTGATAAAATCTTATAAAATCTCATATCAACAAAAAAAGTAAAAATAAAACTTAAGTTGTAATTAAAAATAGAAGTAGAGGTACAAATCTAAGCCATCACAAAGACAGAGGGGTCTAAGTACTCTGCAAACCTCAAACTACTAAAGTATTGTCAAGTGGTGAATCTAAGACTTACAATATACAAAGAAATGTGGCACCATATAACAACATGCATTTAAAAACATGCAATTCATAAATCTAAAATTAGCAACTCATAATCGCAAATATCCATGCTCAATATAATGTAATAAATATATTTATACATGAATATGATTAGTATATAAATATGATGAATTTATGTTTTACAATATAATGGAAAAAATACTGACCTCTTACATAATCCAATATAGAACATGGCAGAGAGATAACACGAGTCTATAGATAGAAAAAATCAATAAGTGAACTAAATACTCAAATTAGAATATGGGGTTATGGTAAACTAAATACTAAAATCATCATTACTTGTTAATCTGTAAGCCAAGTTGTTCTAATATGAAAAAATGAATTCTAACTATGTGGACTACATTGTCAAGTTCAGACCTTAATAAAAATCAACTAAACATTCTTCAGAAAATCATGATATCCATGAGAGAATTAAAAAAGTATCAGAATCTGGAAGTTATATTTAACAAAATAATAAAATCATCATTACTCAGTATAACTTTGTTTCATTCTTTGAAATTCTGTATTTCTTTTTTAATTGTCATTTACTCAGTATAACAGCTAAGTCAAATCCTACCACAACAGGTTGTGGTTGTCATATACTCTGCACTAAAACTTGATGTTAGCTAGAATGATTTAGTGATGCATGGAATAAGTGAAGTAACACAACAATTTTTCTGGATAGAATGAAATATTTCGACCAATAATTGAACTTTGATCTACTAATCTAAAACATCTCAACATGAAGGGAACGACGGACCTAAGAAAGAGAGGCTTAAAGACGGAAGAAGAAATGGAGAATAGCGATTGCTCCGTTTGGATTGCAGCAGTTACGGGTAGAAACACGATAGAGTAACCCTAAGTAAATCTTGGACTTAATCAAACGGCGATTCATAATCGATCAATTTACCCAAAAAATTAGGGAAATCGAGAGCCCAGAATCTGACATAGGTATGGAATTCGAGGGCCCAAATCCACAAAGTTTTGATTTGAATAAGATTGTATATGAAGTTTGGAAACAAACCTGATTATCGAATTGACGTAGAAGAATAAGGGGATTGTGACGTTTTAGATTTCGAAATTGACATGAAGAATCCGTGAAGAATACGCAAAGAATCAGCGGATTTCCTTTCCTTCGGCGAAGATCTACCACAAGAATCGGTGAATTTTTGGCGAAGAAGTTTTGGCTGATGAAGAAATATCTGCGATAGGGCATACAGAGGAGGAGAATCGGCAATTGGGAAGGGTTCTGCTATTTTGTCGTAGAAGTGGACACCTGTAAACTTAAGTGTAATTATATAAGACTATACTTAATTGACAGATGTCAAATTTCTACACATGAAATTCTCCAAATTTATATATACATATATATACACACACAAACACATATATATATAGACTAAATCTCAACCCAAAAACCGACATAAAGACTAAAACCAAAAGTTAAAACCCAACCCAAAACCTACTCAAAAAACTGCCCCAAAAACCAGCCCCAAATACAAAACGCCAACCCTAACCTAGAACCTACCATAAAAGCAGCCCTCGACTTTGTATGTGAATATTGTTTCATCCACCAACTTGCTATAAATAATGGAAAACAAAAATTATCCTCCAAAACCCATCCAAAATTTGTCAAATGCTAAAATATACATCCAAACACAAAACCCAGACCAAAAACAATCCCCAAACACCAAACCCAGAACCTAAATCACACTCAAAACCCAAACCAAGAAAAGAATCCTAACCCATTACCAAATCCAAATTCCCAATATCAAACCTGAACCTAGACCCTAACCTCAAATAACAAGACCTTGACCCAAACTCAACACCTAAAACCCCCAAACCATAATTAAAAGCATACCCATGATCTGCCAAATGCCAACATGCAGATCCAGGCCCAAAATCCAGTCTAAAAAACAAGAGTAAAACACCACTTCCAAAGAGACGTGGTTTGCCTTGTCAAGGAAGTGTTGCTTTGCTTTGGAAAAGATAGTTTCGTTTAAATAAGACACTGCACAGAGAATAAGACACTGCACCAAGTTTAAGACGTCAAAAAATTCTGGGTATTTGGGATATTCTGTAATGTAATTATGCAAATATAGTTATCCAATTATTTATGCACGCATTGAGGCTGAAACTGAAATACAGACCCATAGGCAGATTCATGTGTTAAACTCGGCCATTTAGTACGGGATGTGTGGTGACTGAGTTGGACCTATGACCTTAACCTTAGTTTGTTGGAGGACGGTTTGCCTAAGTTTCGTTAGAGAAGTCTCGTAGTATTACGAAACTAAACACTATAAGCAAAAGTCAAAATGAAATCCCAAGTGTAACAGTAAACCCTACGCCAAAAACAGTGTCAAGGATTAAAGTTCAACGCGGCAACCACAATTGACCAGATCTCTAAACCAGATTTAAAATCATGACAAAGATTATACCTTTAACCACCAGAATTTGTTACTCTTTTTTTGCCTACTTTAATATGTATTATTATTTCTCTCAACAGCTAAAAGTTTTATGTAGCTAAGTGTTCTATATTGAATGAATATGTGATTGTAAAACTCAACGAATCCATGACCTTTTGTATGTGAATATTTATTCATCAAACAGTGTGCTATATCTAATCAAAAAACCAAAATGAGAACTGATAAGCAAAACATGCGTCCTAACCATGAGAATTGATTTTATCATTCCATAAAACAAAAATAGCATTTGTCATTAATCAAAAATCCAACAAAGCAAACAAAACAATCCAAGTAATCCAAATACAAACAATACTAAAAATGCAGAAAAAAATTAAATATTAGAACTCGATAAATAGAATAAAGAGAATGAATTAGGATTTTTGACATACCTCAAGAAATAATACTAACCTTAATAATGATGTAGGAAATTAGAGCAAATGAAATTGAACCTGGAAATTTAAACATGGGGATTATTCACTTGTGAATTGAAAACAATCTGGATACTTGCAAATAAGCATAACAATTGGACGAGAAAACTCATCCAAAAACAAAGTCTGTAAATTCAAAAAAAGCATGAAACAATTCTCTAACCTGGAACCAAAGAACAGGTCTGTGATTCATTCCATCTCCGAGATTATTATTATTATTATTTATTAATTAGGAGTATATTATGGAATTTACAACCCAGAAATCATCCAAACAGCCAAAAATATATTAAAGTAATGCAAATCAATTACCTGATTTTTTTTTGGGAAAGCTGCAAATCAAATGAAATCTGTAGCAATGCATCGTGAATCCCTCAAATTCCACAATTAAATTGCAACGCCAATTCTAGCATTTACTCCAGCCGGTGAAGCCGAGGAATAAAGCATTGAATATGCTGTCATTTATGCCCAAAACCTTTTTTTACTTGAAAACAACATTTCTCCTCCTTAATTCATCTTCTTCTGATGGGACTAAACCCTTGTTATCATCATCTCAAGGAACGAAAGTAGATTTTAAAATTAAAAAAACCCTAAAGCAACCAACCTGGAAGAGAGACAAAGATTGTTTCATCTCAAATCTCCATTTCAGATATCAAATTATATCTAAGCAAATGAGAATATATATTCAAAAGAAGAGTTTCAAAATTGATTTTCAGAGAAATATAATTGTCAAAAAAAGTCACCTGAGAATGAGTGAAAAAAATGAGATTGAGTGTCAGCCTTATAAATACTCTGGTGTTGCTCTAATACCAACGTTGACGTGACAATGTTCCCAAGTGTTCCTGCATTTTTTATTTAAAAAGCTCTCCAAAAATTAAAATCCAAACAAAGACTTTATCAATCTATATTGAGTAAAGAATATACGGAGTATATTGAATATTATATCTAAAACAAAGAAAAAGGAAAAACTGGGAAAAAAGAGTTCATTGTGCTGGCAGAGTGAGTTCATTTAAAAAAATAGCAGAGTGACTCTATTTGGTTGGAATGGTTGGAACTGAATGTAATAATTCTACATTCATTTTTGGATATTATATATTTAATTCTGCTACAAATTTAGTAAATTCAACTTATTCGCCTATTTCTTCCAATTTAGGCCTAATGAAACAGGTCCTCAATACCAAAAGACATACTTTTTCTATGACCTTGTGTTGAATATACTCCTTCCGAGACTGATCCCTAGAAAATGCAACAACAATTAGCAGATTCAAAAGTCAAAATGAAATCCCAAGTGTAGCAGTAAACCCTACGCCAAAAACAGTGTCAAGGATTAAAGTTCAACGCGGCAACCACAATTGACCAGATCTCTAAACCAGATTTAAAATCATGACAAAGATTAAGCCTTTAACCACCAGAATTTGTTACTCTTTTTTTGCCTACTTCAATATGTATTATTATTTCTCTCAACAGCTAAAAGTTTTATGTAGCTAAGTGTTCTATATTGAATGAATATGTGATTGTAAAACTCAACGAATCCATGACCCTTTGTATGTGAATATTTATTCATCGAACAGTGTGCTATATCTAATCAAAAAACCAAAATGAGAACTGATAAGCAAAACATGCATCCTAACCATGAGAATTGATTTTATCATTCCATAAAATAAAAATTGCATTTGTCATTAATCAAAAATCCAACAAAGCAAACAAAACAATCCAAGTAATCCAAATACAAACAATACTAAATAAAAATGCAGAAAAAAATTAAATATTAGAACTCGATAAATAGAATAAAGAGAATGAATTAGGATTTTGACATACCTCAAGAAATAATACTAACCTTAATAATGATGTAGGAAATTAGAGCAAATGAAATTGAACCTGGAAATTTATGTTAGGATCGAATCAAGAACACTCACAGAAATCCGATGAAGAAAGGAGAAGAAAAAACGAGAGAGTAAAAGTAGAGAGAAAGTGAAACACATGAAATAACGTGGTAACACCCCGTGAGTAAACTTCCACGGCGGCTAGATGTGTTTATTGATTACAGAGAATTTGTCTCTTGCCTCTCTACAAAAAATTAGCTACAAAGGAGAATATATATAGGCATTAAAACCTCTACTTACTTAACCATTAAGCAAACTTAGCCATTAAGTAAACTTAACCATTAAGAAAGCTTAGCCACTAAGTAAACTTAGCCATTAAGTAAACTTAACCATTAAGCAAACTTAATCATTAAGCATCAGGCTCCATAACCTAACAATTCTCCCACTTGGAGACTGATCCAATCATCTCAGAAATTGCCAACATCATCAATTTCTTCACCGCACCGCAACATCTGTAGTGAACAACTACAGAAGACCAACCGAGGTCTTGCACAACCCCAGTTTCCCAACATCAACATGTTTTGTCAACATGTCTGCCGGGTTCTTTGCACCCTCTATCTTCTCCAAGCTCATGTCACCAGCCTCCACTGCCCTGCGAGTGAAATGGTAACGTCTTCTAATATGCTTGGTCTTCGAATGATAGACTGGATCTTTCACCAATTGGATGGCACTTTGGCTATCTGAGTAAAGGATCTTCTTGCTCTGCTTCTTTCCCAACTCTTCCAGATAGTCTGACATCCAAATCATCTCCTTCCCAGCTTCAGCTATTGCCACA